GCCGCCGGCGGTCTGGGCCCGCGGGGCGTCAGTTCGCTTCCCGGCTGGGGCTGGCAAGCGGTCGGGAGAGGGCGCGTTCTCCCCGCAGTTGCTCACGTTGCGGGGCACCAGATAGGCCCGGGGTGATGCGGCGAGCTGCCGGGACGTAAACTGCGCGGCCCAGCCCGGCCGCTCTTGATTGCACCCAGCATCAGTTGTCTGCGCGACCTTGAACAGGTGATTCCAGTCACTCGGAAAGGGCAGCGCGCCCTTTGTGGATTTGCCAGAGAACCCGAGCTTAAGGCTCTGGTAGGTTGGGTGGGCGCTCTTGAAATGCAAGGGCGCCTTTGCCCCTCAGATAACGTCCTTCTCTGTAGGGTGGGGAAAATCCGCCTTTCCTCACAGGACACTGACTCAGCCTGCAAGAGCAGAGTGCCCCAAGTCAACATTGCCATAAAGACGGAGTAGGTGACGCCGCAGCCTTCGATAACAGGATTATGTTTATTTAGGCTGTTATTTGTTGCTGTGAAACAGATCGATTCACTGGCATTCAGAACTGGGAAAAAAAAAAAAATGTGAGGCTGCATAAAATTAAGAGAAAAGGCTGTGGAAACACATAAGAGTTTCTGAAGGAAAGAATGGTGTTACTCGTACCAAATGAGGTGGAAAAAAAACAAAAAGAAACACCCAGGAGCATCTTGCCCGGAACATGTGTCCATCTGTTTCACCACATGGAATTGTTTGAGGTCTGCCCCTGAGGCTCTGATAAAAATTATTTAGACTAGCAAGAGAAAAACAAAAATTAGAATCAAGGAAACAAAAACCCAATTTAAAAAGCCTTGGCCAAACTCACACAAAAATTATCTTGATTTTGACGTTTCTTGATACCATATTTTGTAATTTATGATCTGTATTCTTTTCAGTCCCTGGTGACAGAACGTACTTTAATGTTGCATTTTTCAACTTTGAATCTCTAAATCCCCTATGTGACCTTGAGGGTCAGACAAATAAAAAATAGATTGTCTATTCATCTCATTGTTTATAACCAGAGAAAAAACAGAAGCTGCTGAACAGGAGGGAAGGAAAGCTATGTCTTCATCCTTAATGAGACAAAAGACAGTGGACATAATAAGAAAAATGTGAAGGACACACTTTTGGATCAATAAGTTGGTACAAAGTTACAACGCAGTTTATGCCTGTTGTAACCTGAACCAATCATGAACATAAAAATGGTCTTTCAGTCGGATTAATCATGAAATGTTTGCCTTCTAATTTACCAGGCAAAAACTATCCCTTTGATAATATAGATCTGGCCATAGATCCTAAATATTTCATTAAATGGAATAATTCTGGATAAATCTATATAGATTTATTTCCCAATACCGATGGTGAAAATGAATCAAGAAGGAACACAAGAGCAAAAATAATTAAAGCTCAAGTCCAGTAAGGTACAGTCTGTGTCAGCATAGTATGACATAGGTAGGAGAATGTACCACAATAGGTAATGTTGCAGCAATGTCTTCTGAAAAAATAAAAAAGGTAATTGAGCAAAAAAGCTTTGCTGCTAGAGGAGATCTTTTAAAGCCAATGAATATGGCTTATTTTGAAAGCACATGTCAGGGGTTTGGTTTATTTTCCCCTCCCCTCCTCCCTATTTTCTTTTTTTTTTTTTCCTTTTTGTCTTTTTTTTACTGACCGGCAACAGGATCGCAACCCTCAGTGTTGCATCTGCACCTCGCTCAGCCAGTGAGCGGGAA